CTTCCCTTCCCTTCCCTTCCCTTCCCTTCCCTTCCCTTCCCTTCCCTTCTTCCCAGCAGAGAAGGCCATGGTTTGTTTCGGGAGCATGTTCATCGAGCTGCCGAAGGCAAAGACCCGGGAGATCCTGCGGCAGGGTGAGGTCACCCCGAGGGCTCCATGTAGCTATAAGAGTTTTAATAAGCACCATCATTAATAAGGTGTTGTCTCAATTAACCGAGTTCTGTCCAGGGATGGGCTTTGATGTGCCCAAAACCTCTCGAGAGGCTGATTCTGACCCGTGCTGTGCCCTGGGAAGCACATGCAGAAGCTGCTCACCCCGGGGGTGGTGGAGGTGGGGTGGGACCTCCCTGTGCCTGTGCTGTGTCCCATGGGAAATTGAGCCTTCATCCCAGAGCCCACTGCAGTCCTCCTCACTCCCGCCTCTTTTCCCAGACCAGGAAGAGCTGGATGAGGCGATAAACAACCTCCGGAAAGAGCTCCGGGTGAAGGTCAACCAGCTCTATGAAGCTCAAGGTAAACGCTCCCACTCTGGAACCTGCTCAGTGCCTGGGAGCAGACTCATGTATCGGGAGGGTCCAGAAACTCCTTAGTTCCATGTGTTCCTGCAGCCTCTTTTCCACTGGTTTTACAGTTCCCTCCATGTCCCAGCAGCATTGTCCGTCTCTGTGTGGAGCTGTCACCCAGCAGCACCCTAAACCCCCTCTGACACTGTGCTAGGGTGACCCCACTTCAGCTTCCAGGACTGTCCCTGCCCACCCCACAGCCCCTCTCAAGTTTACCGTGACCTGCTTCACTTCTTTTGTGATAAAACCCTGATTTTTTTCACTGTGTTTTCTCAGGCAAACCTGAGCTGAAGGGGTTTAACCTGAATCCTATGTCTGCCGAGGAAATGAAACTCATCAACCGCATCCTGGAGGGCTGAGGTGGCCATGCCATTGTCACAGCGTGTTTGGCTGTCACTGTGGGTTCATGTTTCCATAGCCACAGTCCTTGGGATTTGCCTTGGGACTGCTGTGTCCAGAGCCCACCCAGGTGAGGGCCCTGGGAATCATTTGGCTGCTCAGCTACAACACTGCAGTTTGTTTGGATCACAAACCCCTTTTCCTTGCTGGAACTCAGGTGGCAGAGCCGTGCTGGGTGCAGCACTGGGCAAAGGCCCACGGCTGGGGTGGAGGTGGGATCATTAAAATCAGAGCAGTGGGACATTTCCTGACTCCATGTGTATGTTCCTTGTTCGGGACTTATGTGAACGCTTCTGGCTTCAGAGCTGCTCCTTTGTCACGTTGGGAACAGGAGTAGGAGGGATTGGGAATCCTCCACATGCCTGAAGCACAGAAGAGGAGTTGTGCACGCCCATGGCATTCAAACAAAGCCAAGCTGTACATCTGAGGCACGTCAGGAATCTCTAAGGATGTGTAGGGAGGAGCAGGAGGAGGCAGCATCCTTTCAGTCTTGCTTGGAAAACATGTTCCACTGTTGGAAGGCAAAAGACAGCAGAAATTAGGCTTTCAGGACTGGATGAAGGGATAAACCTTGGGTATATTTAAAGAAAGCAGCCTGAGGAGGCCTGAGCAGGAACACTCACTGAGTTTGTCTTGTAAAAGGACAATTGATGAAACCAGTAGTAGTTTCTGCAAAGGTTTTAAAATTTGCTGTTTTCTGCACTCCCTCCTCTGAATGTGCTCCCCTAAGGGCTTAACTTGGTCAAGAGCATAAGATTTTTAAAAAATAGTGATAATTAGTACATGACTATAGTGAGTTTGATTTTTTTCTGCTTACAGGGAAGTGTCTGGGTCCAGCCAAGCCCTTACTTTTTTGAACTTCTGTGGAGATATTTCTGGATAGTTTCAGAACTGTAAACATGGCTGTTGTCCTTTCTCCAGCCCTGAGGTTGCTCACCTGTTCTGCCAAATCTTGCATGAGCAACAGAGCTGGGCCTGGTCCCTTGCTCTCTTTCCTTTTTCCCAGCCATGACAATGATAAACACAGCACCACCATTTCCCTGGCTCCCTGTCCACCTTGCAACTTAGCAAGGCCTTCTCCTGCCCTGGCCAGTTCTAAGCATGCTTCAAATTACACAGAGTTCCAAAAAATACCCTGTATCTGACCCCATAAAACCAAGGTATGATTTCTCTAAACCAAAAAACCCAACTACCATTGCTTGGTCTAACTTTTAAAATTCTGCTGCTGACACTACAAACCCTAAATGTGTCTCTGTCCACTTCAGGCTTAACATTTCAAATACACAGACTGAAAATAACAGACTTACTACCTGAACTGTCTTGCCTACAGCTTTTTCAGAAGCTTGCCTGTCTCCTGGGAGCAAGAGGCAGCTCACAGTGCCATATCCCAGTGTTGGAGCTGCTCTTACATAACCCATGTGGTGCAGCCAGTCCGTGTCTCTGAAATGTGATGGCAGGGTTATTTTTACAGTCTCATGGCAACAGGTTTTTTGCTCTGACATGTTTCCATAGTAGTAGCAGGAGGAGGATCAGGTGCCTGCCTGCCCTAAAAGCTTTGTTTTGCTGTGCAGAATGTGTTTAGCCACTTTGTTTTCTTACATGGAACAGAACTAAGCTCTGCAGTGCAGAGGGCCAGCTGAGCAGCCAAGCATCCCTGTGTCAGCTAAAATACCTCATTCCAGCCCACTGCAACTTCCAAGCTGGGAAACTCTCAGGAGCAAGGGAGCCAGTGCCTCATGCTGGGCCAGTAGTGTCCAGAGAGAAATGGGAGCTGCTGCTGCTGCCCGACACAAGGGGAGAGCAAACTTCATCCATGAGGGTGTCTCCCAGCCCAAGCTTGGGATCAGCACCACACTTTCTGCTGTGCAACCAGATTCCTGAAAAGCTGCTTCATTTGTTTCTTCCTAGGACACAGTGGCCACCATGAAAACATTACCAGGCCAGTTACACAGCACCTTCCTCCTGCCTGTAGAGGCGAGGTGATATTTCACTTTCAGGTGAAGCTCTACTCATGTGTTGCTAGTTAGAATCCACAGCCAGAGATGATGGTAGACAAACCGAGGTGTGCATGGCAAATGTGTGTCAGCTTCTCCACGTATGGAGAATCAAAATACTGCTTCCCATCAGTAAAATACACAACTTCAGGAAGGTGCCTAATGAACAGTCACCACAGAGTCAGTTTTTGAAAACTTTTGTCCCTTCTGGTCTCCTAATTCATTAAGAGCTCACACAACCATTCTTGTTCCCTAATGAAGATACGCATTCCCCTCCTGTGCCAACAGCTTCATGACCAAGCAGGACACCTGCCAGCACTGGATGAATTCTGCAGCTAAATGTATGTTTGCCATGACATGCTCATGATCACCCAGATCACCCCCTCTGCTGACAGGCCTGTTATTCCAGACCAGGTCAAAGCCTCCAACATGCTGTTCCTTCCCTGTCAGCCTATGGCATCAAACTCATAGGCTGAAGTACCTGAGCAATGACAACTCCCCAGCTGCATGCAGGAATCAACTCCCAGACAACCAGGGACACAGCTGAAAGCAGGGGACATCTCTTTGCTATTAATATCTGGGGTTAATACAGTTGTGTAGTCAATGACAAAATGCTGCAAGTCCAGCTGCTGGGAACAGAGTGCTCCAGCAGCAGCATGAGTGGGAGGCACAGTGCACAAGGACCTCTGACAGAGAGCTCTTGTGCAAGTCCTGGCTCCAACAGGGGCTTCTATCCCTTGGCAGCCCCATGCTACCTTGTTTTCCCTCTCTGAAGGGGCAACATGCTTCATTACTTTGCACTTCTTCTGGATATTCATCATTTAATCACTATAAAGGTTGGAGGATTATGATCAGTTGCCAGGAAAATCATGAAACCAGACCATCCATCCCAAACACTGTAATAAAACCCCTCAGAAAGTGATAAACCCCTTCACCCCCCTGCTCTCCCTGTTCACAGTGCTGAGTCTTTCAGAAGATGAACTTGAGTTCAGAATCTCCCTGGCAGCTGGCAGTACAGGAAGGTGAAATACTTACCTCCAGACCCAGCTGAGGAGATATAACAGTAAATTAGGGAGAAATAGGCAGTTTTGCCAATGGCTCATTAAGAAAAATGCCTGCCCACAAAATCATTACCCTGGTAGCAGGCAGGAGTGAGTGTGAAGCAATAGGAAATCCAACCCTAAATCTCTTTCCCATGTGCTGAGCCAAAGAACATTCTGAGCTTATTGCAAAGTTTCTATTCCTGTTCTTGATGATACTAAAGAAAAAAAAAATCCCTTTGGCTTCCAGAAAGAAAAGTGAAAAATAAAGTCATGCTGAAGCAGTAAGTGCTGAGGAAGATTCACAGAATGAGCATTAACCCTTTTTAATTGCAGATGTGGGTGTCTGCAGAGAACAGGTTCCCAGCAGAGTGTTCAGATATCTGAGAGCCCAGCAGCATTGTGATAACATTGAGGAGTTGCATTCCAATTCATTTCTTTCCTGACTAACTGAAGTTACTCCTCCCTTTATCTGCAGGCTGCCTTAGCAGTAATTTTGTTTGAGGCTGTGAACAGAGTAGACTGTGCACATTAGAGCTATCCCAGACCAGAACTGAGCTGAATTTATTTGTTCATTTGAAATAAAACTGTCCCCAGTGGCACCATGTGAAGTATTGGGCTGAAGCTGACAGGACACAGTGCTGTAACAAGTAGTACCAGTGACCATGTCTTGTTAGAAGGAAGAGTTAAATTAGAGGTATTTCATAGGAGAGCACCATAAACATAAGTCACATCTAAAGGAAATTGCCTTACCTATGGTTCTGCTTGCTCTTTACATGACTAAGCCTGAAAGAATAATAATTGTATTTTTGCTTGTCATTTTTGTAGTGCTATTTGTTGTTTCTGTTTCTCTCAACTCTCGTAATGACAAATCAGTTGTGTTCTCGGGTTCCTGCTGTTGCAATACTTGGGTTGCAAATGTAGCAGGTAAATTTCTGAGAATTTCAGCTGAATTTCATGATAAATATTTTTCACTTAACCAGGGAGAAAACCTGTGTTAAAAAAGAAACAGAACCAATGGAGTCAAATCCTGTTTTAAAGGGGCTTTTTGTTGTTACGTACCCTCAGTTCCCAGCCTACATCTCAGTCAGTGCACCATGGACCTGGTGATGTTCATTGCTGGCAGCCAAACCACTCTGGGGGGGAGGTTTGTCAGTGCTGATGGGACACTGCTGTGGGACACATAAGCAGGAGAGATGGCCCTCCATCTCTGGCAATTGCTCTGATACTTGTGATTTGCTGGTACTTGGAGGGGAGCATCTTCCAGAAATAGCCAAGTTGGCAGGGTTTCACAACACAGGGCTAGAGATCTGACAGTTATATGGTGCTGTACCCAGATGAAGTCTGATTGATTAAAAGCAGCTATATCTGTCCAGGTGGCAGCTTCCTTCATGTAACCAGTTCACACAGCTGTACAACTCACTCACAGCACCACGCCAGCTCACTCAGCCTGCAAACCCCTGCAAAGTGTGGACGCATCACGAGACCCCCGTGTCCCAGGGCCAGCAGCCAACCTGACACTGTAATCCCTTGTCTGCTTAATAACACATTTAGGGTTTCAGATCTTGATGGGTTAGGATGTCACAGTCCAGGAGCTCAAAGTAGCATTCGTCACTGCTAATCCCCTTCTGAACACTGGATGAAAGTGCTTGTCCATATCCACAACGAGAACCTCCACTGGCCCTGCCCCACCCTTGGGAGTCAAGCACTGTCCAAGTTTCTCAATCACCAACCTGCAGCCCTGAGACATCCAAACAATTACACAAAGTCATTCCCAACAGATGACCACACATTTAGTCCATGTGATTTGTTTTCAGTCATAATCTCCACAGCCTAGCAAGTATTCTGAGTAAAAGGCCAGAGACCAGAAGGGCCACCAACCACACTCAGCACTTAAGCTCTCCAGGCTTAATTGCTATACACCTACAGGAGAAAACAGACCCCAGGTCTCCATCAGAAGTTGCCCACCAGCAATTGACCTCCTCTCTGCTATCAGGGTACTGCAAAAATGCTCCTTTCCCTATTGACAAGAGGGGTTTATAGAAGGGAGCAGCCCATAAAATGAGATGTTCAACACCACGCTCCATTATGCTCAAGCATCATTCTCAGATTCACGAGGAATCTGACAATCTATTTTTTTTCCTCCCTTCCTTCCTTCCTCCCTCTCTCTCTCTCTCAGCTGCCACCTCTTGAGAGAGGCAGCTTAACAGTGACAGC